AATTGCTTATTTTCTTCTTTTTTTTTTAATTTTCTCTCGTCTATCCAAGCAAGAAGGATGATAATATTTTTTTCAAATTTTTCCTTCTTTCTATTTTCTTTCCTCCCATTTTTTGCCGTGAAGTTTTTTGTTTATATACTAAAGAGTTACCTAAAAGGTTTTGTTTAAAATTAGGAAGACTATAGATACGGAAGAGTTATAAATCCCACCTATATTCCTATGGGACTTGCAACGCTTCCATATGTATATTCTTTTCCTTAATTTAAGGGGGGAAAACCCCTTCTTAGGGTGTGTTTGGATGAAACCAAACCGTGGTTTGGAAAAGTAATTCTGGAAAATAGATTATGGGAAGAATAGATTTTATGAAAAAGTGATTTTGAGAAGTGAGAGTGTTTGGATAGTTGTTATCAGAAGCACTTTTTATATATACAAATTACTAAAAAAAGACAAAAGTTAATATGATAATTACAGAAAAAAATAGATTTTATGATATATTTTAATTTGAAAGAATAAAATTGTTAATAATATATTTTTTATTAACATAATTAATAATACATAAGATAATATAATTAATAAATAATTAATATGTATATATATTTATAAAATATAAGATTAAATATGTTTATAAAAAAATATGTTTATAAAAAAAATAACAAGATACATATCTTATAGGCTCTTACACTCTCCCTTTTTTCTCTAAAAGCAAAAATTTTTTGCTTTTTCTAAAACCATGGTTTTGGCCCAAAACCATGGTTTGTGCAAATTGGGTGGGTGTTTGGGTGACTTATCACACAAATACCATGGTTTGGGGTGTCACCCAAACGGTGCCTTAGTCAGTGATTTATGATTATTTTTTTTTTATGACTTGCAAATTCAATGGTATTTTTGATAAAGGTAACCGTTTAAAATGTATTTTTATTACTTTTCAAATTAACTTTTCAAGAAAATTACTCAGTTTATTATTTTATGCACACTTTTTTTTAAACAAATAATTCTTATAAAAAGTTAAAAAGTTTTTAAAAAAAAGAGAAAACTGAAGGATAAGAGTGAGAGTGAGAAGGAAAAAAAGGGAGAAGACGAGATCGAGAGATGACATAAGTGAGACACCTAGACATAGTGGGTCCCACAGAGAAAAAGGGCAACGGATATTTATGAGGATTAACAGATACAGTATTTTCGTCCTGTTTAGTGAAGTTCTTGCGTATTTTCACACCAAAAATTTGTTTATGTGCATGGTGTTCTTTTTAAAAAAAGATAAATGGTATTTTTTCATATTCATCCTTTTTTTTTAAATAAATTTTCCTTGAAGTCTGGATTTGTTGCTGCCTTCCCTTTTATTTGTCATATCGGCTCTTCTATATAAATGTATCTGTTAATTACAAATCTTTCTCTTTTCTTCTTTCTCAATATCTGCTGATAGGCTTTTCAGCACTCATATCATCAAATGCTGTATGGTCGATCCTACATTCACAATTTGTTGCTTTCATTTCTCTCATATGTACTTTCTTTTTTCTCAACAACATAAGCCATCAGCCAGGGTATATCTCCTTTTTGGGATTGCTCTCTTACGTTCGGTTCAGGTTTTGATTTTATCATTAAGTTCCTGGTCTTTCATGTTGATACTAACGTTAGCATGCTGCCAAATATTGTAGACTCCGCAAGTATATCAGTCATAAAAATAAATACCAACAAATCAAGATCGATCCCACGTAAAACTCAACTAACCAGCAACTAGGTAATACAAAATCCTCTTTTCGTTTAAGTAAATCAAAATTAAATTTGAATTGAGTGAAAAAAAATTAAAATAAGACAAAACAAAGCTTTATCAAATTAATTAAAACAAATATTAAAAAAGACAACCTAAAGTCACAAATCTTCTACTGGCTCCTTAAACCTTGTTTTTACTTAATTGATTAGCTTTAATTTTATTTTTGTTAATTTAAATATAATTATTTATAATTATCTGCGAGTCCACTTATAACCCTCTCTTAAAGTAGTAATATTATCTCTAATACAATTACCTAAAAAGCTAAACAATTTGGTTTTACTCATCAACAATTATAGGGGACAATTAGATATATTTCTATCTTAATCACGAATTAGATCACAATTCAATACCATATTACTTAATCTAAAAGCTTAACTAAAAATCCCTTCTGTCAAGAAAATTTTCAAATTCACAGTTAATGGCCAGTCATCAAATGGACAAATAAAAACAAGATTAATAAGTAACCAAAACTTAACATTAATCATCCTCAATCAGTGAAAATAAAACTTAATCAACCAACATGTTTATAGTTCCTCTAGGGTGTTTGGCAACCCTCAAAAGTGCTTCTACGAGGCGAACTCCTCTACATATTTACTTCGTAAAAGCACTTCTGCAACCAAGGTTTGGTTTCCATCCAAACACCCTTGAAAAGGAAAATTAGTTACACATGACTTTAATCAATCTCAGTCCACCAACAATGAACTCAAAATCAAGAATCATAATGGAATTCAAAAGCAAAGAAAAGAGAAACTGAAACAATGAAATAGATCTCTTCCGCAATGCGTCTCTCTCTCTTTCCTCAGCTACTCCATGAGCTCTCTCTGAAAAAGAAAGGAGAAAAAAAAGGAGAATTACAGTGAAGTTTAAAAAAAAAATAATAATAATAACTACCAACAAATCTCAATAATAAATTAGAAGTTTTGCAATACATATACATAATTCAGCTCTCACATAATACCATACTCACAAATTACATATCTTTTGCTCCGTAAAAGAAACTAAAATAAACATTGGACTGTTTTGGAGGCCATTTTTTCTGGATGCACCAACATTGCACACCTCGTTACACACTTCTTTTGGAGTGCAGCTGACAATTTTTTTTTTTTTTTTTGGGTTTGGAAAGATAGCAATTGCTTTGTTTCACTGGATAGAGACCATCTACATCTGCAGATTAATTTTCAACCTTGTCAACATACTTTTCATTTCTCAAGTTAGAGCAATTAATAGTAAACTTGAAAGTATATATATAACAGCAACAATATATAGCAATGTATATGTTAAACTGTGCAGTTTTTTAGCAATGTCCAGAAGTCACCATTTTATAGCAGTGTTTGTTAAACTTTTAAGCAATGAAAATCCTTGGTTATTATTCTGATTTGACAAATCTGAGTCTACTTCTCTTGTCTAGTCCAACACTGATTCTGAGGGACTTGCAACTCAAAAACATTAAGCTTAAAAACAAATTTTGTCAACTCATCACCGCTGCACTTCTTCTGTTTTTTTTTTTTTTCCCAACATACAAAGCAAATATAATGACAAGAAAATAATACATCAATGGAGAACAAGGAGAAATATTAGCAAATAGGAATAAATCTATTCCATCAAGTCATATTCTAATAAACTCAATGTCAATGTTTTATCAGCACAAAATTCTCCTTGAAACAATTTTTATGCTTACTCCACTATCAACAAATCAAGTATCATTGCATATACAATAAGATCTTAAATTAAAAAAAAAAAAAACACACACACACACACACAATCACTCATCCATCCTAAGTTTGTTAATGTTGAGTTATGCTAGAGTGTGGAAACCCATATTTTATGAAAGCTCAATGCCATAAATAAGCGTGAATGGATTGCATCACATGTAAATTTTATTGGTTTATTTTTCTGCTGTGAGATTTAGATGTCAAAGGATCACAGGACAAAGAAAACGCCTATCAGCTTTGCAATCAATCTTTTTCCAAACAACAAAACTAACTATACCTCCTCCGTAAGGAGAATCTATAATAAGAACTACCATCTCCAATTTCAGTAACAAGCACTGTTATTAAAAAAAAAAAAAACAAGACAAACATTGAACTGAGTAGTCTGCAGGATCATGGTTGGACAGCTCAACCGACTGATTAAACATTACAGGTCCCGAAAGCATTGAGAATGAGAGGTAAGGATTGTAATTGGGATTGAAAATTATGTTAAAAGAGTATATAGAATGAAAACTTGCTTGTTACATGGGATTTGGACAATCTTATGTAGGTAGGATTGAGGAATACCATCTCCCACTATAGTATTGTCCAGTCCCACATATATGAGATTGCCCCATTTAATAAGCGATCTCTTATACTAAATACACTTTTAACATATTTTCTTGTTAGAAAGCCCCTGATTATCTCCCTTGATTCTCTCCATTAATTGCCCATGATATTAGCTAGAAGATATATTTCCTGATTTATTGAGAGATTGCAATATATGTAATTTATGACTGATTGATTGTAACCGAATATTATTTCTCATCCGGACTCTATATATTGTAACCCAATCATATGGAATAAGATATGAGCATGAAATATTCAGCAAAATAAACATGGTATCAGAGCGTAGGGTTCCTCCTGAACCCAGAAAACTTCGTGCGTTGCTGCCGTGAGATAGAGAGAGAGAACGCGAGGAGAGAGAGAGAGTGAGGCGTCCCAGATCTGAAGCCAAGAGCAGACCGTGGACGACACCGCCCCTCCAGTCCTCACCGGCGCCCTCAGATCGGCGCATCCCTTGAAGATGACGTCGGCGCATCCCTTGAAGACGACGTCGAAAGCTGCGCGTGAAGCCCACGCCGTCACAAGCTCCGCGCGTGAAGCCCACGCGCCGTCACTGCCTCTGCGTGTGAATTGCACGCGCCGCCGCCGAAAAACCAACAGTGCCTCCCAGAGATCCAGAAAATGAACCCATCAGAATTCCCACCCCTTTTTGGGTCCGTTCGTAATATTCCAATGGCCCTTATGTCCGGTACATCCTCAAACACTCAAAGCACTCCTTCTTCACCTTTAGTCACCTCTCAAGCCTCTGATCCAGAACCATCCCTAACCTCTGAACATCAAGCTATGGTGGTGGCTCACAAACTTAATGGTAGCAACTATCTCCAATGGTCTCAAAGTGTATTAATGTATCTACGTGGGAAGCGTAAGGAGAAATATATCAATGGAGAGGCAAAACAACCTTCACATAATGATCCCAATTTGACACCTGGTTTGCTGAAAATAATCAGGTGATGTCTTGGCTGTGCAACTCAATGACTCTTGAAATCAGTGAAGGATACCTCTTGGCAAGCACAGCTAAGGAAATCTGGGACGCTGCTAAGAGGACTTACTCCACACTAGACAACACTGCAGCCCTATTGGATCTAAGGAGGCAGCTCAAAGATCTGAAGCAAGGAAACTTAACTGTAACACAATATTACAGCACTTTAACGAAGATATGGCAGCAGTTGGATCTCTTTGAAGTTCATCCTTGGAAGGACATGGATGATGCTAATTACTACAGACAACTGGTGGAAAAAGGACGAACCTATGACTTCCTATTGGGTTTGAATGATGTCTTTGAAGAAGTAAGAGGCAGAATTATGGGTCTAAAACCGCTTCCCTCCCTATTTGAAGTCTTCAGTATGGTCAAGTTTGAAGAAAGCCGGAGACACCTCACTCAGGGTAACCAAACCCCAGTAGATGGCTCAGCATTAGTCACGAGGAGGTCCCCAACATTCGAGGGATCTGAGAAGAAAGGGAACAAGTGGTGCAATCACTGTAACAAGAAAGGCCACACCAGAGACGAATGTTGGAAACTACATGGGAAACCAACCCAAGGGAAGCAGAAACAACGGGAAGATAGAAAAAGCCACCACACCTCCTCTGAAGAAAAAGGTGATGAGGGAGACCAGTTGACCAGAGAAGAGCTTCAAATGCTTCGTAAGATACTTGAAAAACAAAACAAATCAAAATCTGTTCCCAACGTGAACTTGATTCAGTCAGGTAATTCTATTATAGCCCTTAATGCAATGGTAACTAGTGATGAAACCTGGATTGTTGACTCCGGTGCTACAGACCACATGACTGGTAATAAGTCCTTCTTCAAAACCCTCAAATATTGCCATGAGAACCTTAGGGTAAAAGTAGCAACTGGACTATATACTAAAGTTGAGGGTGTTGGCATTGTGGCCCTATCTGATGATCTGGAAATCCATAATGTTTTGTTTGTTCCTGCTCTTACCTGCAACCTTATATCTGTGAGCAAATTGACTAAAGGACAAGTATGTCGGGTAATCTTTGATGATGTTAAGTGTGTTTTTCAGGATTCGACCTCGGGGAGGAAGATTTTGACTGCTAAAGAATGGGATGGACTCTACTACTTTGAAGGAAAAGATATGAAGACTGCAGGAGCAAAGAAAGCTATGGTTAGCTCTAATTCTCAGAATAAAAATGTAATGTTGTGGCATCAAAGATTAGGCCACCCCAGCTTTGATTATATGAAGCATGTGTTTCCAACTTTATTCAATAAAAATTCTTTTCCTTTCCAATGTGAAACGTGTCAAATTGCCAAACAAACTCGCGCCTCTTATCCCAAACATACTTACAAACCTACTGCCCCGTTTACATTGATTCATACTGACATTTGGGGACCAGCCAAAATCAACACCCGAACAGGCACAAAGTGGTTTATTACATTCATCGATGATCACACCCGGGTCACATGGGTTTACCTTATGAAAGAAAAATCCGAAGCTTTACAAATTTTCAAAAACTTTCACTCTTTTGTGAGAACCCAATTCCAAACTCCCATCAAAGTTCTGAGAAGTGACAATGCCAAAGAGTATGTGAGTGGAGCCTTTAGGGAATTTCTTGAGCAGGAAGGAATCCATCACCAAACCTCATGTGTCTATACTCCTCAACAAAATGGAGTTGCTGAGCGGAAAAATAGACATCTTCTAGAAGTAACCCGAGCTATTATGATGGAAAGAAATGTTCCAAGTTGTTTTGGGGAGATGCTATGCTAACCGCTGCTTATCTCATCAATCGAATGACCTCAAAAATTCTCCATTTCACTACCCCCATTCAAAAACTCCTCGAGACCTACCCCACCTCACCTATCATCAATACCATCCCTCAAAAGGTCTTTGGGTGTGTCGTCTTTGTTCATAAACATGATGGGGGCAAACTTGATGCTAGAGCAGAAAAATGTATTTTCCTCGGGTATTCCTCCACCAAAAAGGGATATAAGTGTTATTGTCCCACTACCAGAAAACTCATAATCTCCAAAGACACAGTTTTTTATGAGGATGATGCTTATTATCCCAAATTACCCATTCAGGGGGAGCACTATGGAGTAGAATGGCTAATTACACCTGAACCTATGACCAATCCCAACACACATCTTACCACCCCTCTTGAACCTGCCATACCACAAGAAGAAATCACTGTCCCTGAACCGGAACCAAAAACCCCTAGTCCTACACCTCCACTAGAGCACCAAAACCCCACAAACACTCCTCACCCGACTCACCCAATGGAAACGAATGCTGAAATTGATGCAGGGGTGACAGAGCGTTCAAGTCCTCAATCAGGTGAGCAGGATAGTAGTAGTAGGGTTCCTTCCATTCCAAGGCAGCAACATGATTCCAATCCAGAGTTGGATCCTGAAGAGCTAGGATGGCCCATTGCACTTAGAAAGGGGGTAAGATCATGTACTCAGCATCCTATTCAAAAATTTGTCTCCTATGGCAATTTATCTGCTAGAATGCAAACCTTTGTGGTGAATAGCTCACAGGTGAAGATTCCAGAAACATTTCAACAGGCTATGAAAGATCTTAATTGGAAACGTGCCGCATATGAGGAGTTGAGAGCCTTAAAGGAAAATAACACGTGGGATATTACCACACTTCCTAAGGGCAAGAAAGCAGTGGGTTGCAGGTGGATCTTCACCCCTAAATTCAATCCTGATGGAAGTATCAACAAGTACAAAGGAAGATTAGTTGCAAAAGGGTACACCCAGACTTATGGGATTGATTATCAAGAAACGTTTGCTCCTGTGGCAAAGTTCAACACCATCCAGGTACTCCTGTCTCTAGCTGCTAACCTTGATTGGTCTCTACATCAACTAGATGTGAAGAATGCTTTCCTAAATGGAGATTTGGAGGAGGAAGTGTACATGGAAATCCCAGATGGAGTAATAGCTCCACCCAACTCAGTTTGCAAACTGAAGAAATCACTATATGGCCTGAAACAGTCTCCACGAGCGTGGTTCGACAGGTTTGCCAAGGCAATCAAAAGGTTTGGCTACGTCCAAGGACAAGCTGATCACACTCTCTTCGTTAAACACAGTAATGGAAAGGTAACGATCCTAATTGTGTATGTGGATGATATAGTCATAACTGGCAGTGATGAAGTTTCTATCTCCCAACTCAAGAAAGCTCTAGCTAGGGAATTCCAAGTGAAGGACCTAGGACAAATGAAGTACTTTCTTGGAATGGAGGTTGCTAGATCCAAAAAGGGTATAAGTGTGTCTCAACGAAAGTACACACTTGATTTGCTCCACGAAACAGGAATACTTGGGGCTAAACCTAGTGAGACGCCTATGGAAGAATCATGTAATCTGGAAGTGAAACCAGACGGGGTACCAGTCAACTCAGAAAGGTACAGAAGACTTGTAGGTAAACTGATCTACTTGACTCATACAAGGCCTGACATTAGCTATGCTGTTGGAGTAGTAAGCCAATTTATGCATCAACCCCAGGAAGAACATATGGAAGCAGTATACAGAATCCTGACCTACCTCAAACTCAATCCTGGAAGAGGAATATTCTTTAAAAAGGGGAGTACAAGGAACATAGAGGTCTACACTGATGCAGATCATGGGAGAGCTGTGGATAACAGAAGATCTGTCACAGGATACTGCACTTATGTTTGGGGAAACCTAGTCACTTGGCGAAGCAAGAAACAGACAGTAGTCTCAAGGAGTAGTGCTGAAGCTGAGCTAAGAGCTGTAGCCCTGGGGGTATGTGAAGGAATGTGGGTGATCAGACTTCTGAAGGAATTGAGAATTTCCTATGAAGGACCTATGAACCTCTGGTGTGACAACCAAGCCAGCATTGAAATGACCAAGAATCCTGTGTATCATGACCGAACAAAGCATGTTGACATTGATCGGCACTTCATCAAAGAAAAGGTTGAAGATGGCACAATTAACCTGAGCTATGTGCGCTCAACTGATCAGATTGCTGACGTCATGACCAAACCTTTAGCTAGAGTCAAGTTTGAAGGGCTTCGAAGCAAGCTGGGAATGGTTGACATTTACTCTCCAGCTTGAGGGGGAGTGTTAGAAAGCCCCTGATTATCTCCCTTGATTCTCTCCATTAATTGCCCATGATATTAGCTAGAAGATATATTTCCTGATTTATTGAGAGATTGCAATATATGTAATTTATGACTGATTGATTGTAACCGGATATTATTTCTCATCCGGACTCTATATATTGTAACCCAATCATATGGAATAAGATATGAGCATGAAATATTCAGCAAAATAAACATTTCTCAATCACAATCCCAATCATTACCCCCCATTTTCAATGTTTTGTACCAAACGGGACCTAGATTCTTTCTAAAAGTATGCATAATGGTCAGTAGCATCATAATCAGTAGGAATAGAGACTGTATGGGCAGAAATCTGCTGTGCCAGAGAGCTTTAATGGTATGATCAGCTTTCAAAGATTTCAGAGGTCCCGGTATCCCGTTCCAAACGACATTGGTGGGCATGCCAGCTCATACCGTCCCATAAGGTTCATCCAGAACCGACATTGTTCAGTATATTTGTTCCATTCTTGGCAAATAATTTCCCAACCCATTTCTCGAATCAAGTGAGGCATTTGTATTATGTTGTCGTTTGAAACGGAAATAAGAGCCTTATCTAGAAGTTCTTTTATTCCACTAGTACCAAAAATGCCATTGGCATCATTTAGGCTCATGGTTTGATCTTTACGTTTTCCTCCAAAAAAGTAACTGATACCAAGAAATATCTGCCTTTGTACACCCTCTAATCCATCATAACTCATTTTCAACACATCTCGAGCATGCTTCTCAAGTTTTCTCAATGTATTTTCCCATGCTTCTATGTCTCTGGAACAAAGACACAAACCCAGAACTTTCAAAGCTAGAGGAAGACCCTTGGCATAAGCAACTAGTCTTTTTGAAAGTTCTTCATATCCCCTTTCGGGATGGCCCTTTTGGAAGGCATTTAAGCTGAAAAGCTTGAGGGATTCTTCAAAGTCCAATTCCGTGACCTCAAACATGTCATGAAGTAGTCTTCCCGCAGCAGCTAGCTCTTGCTTCTTTTTGCTTGTTACAATGACTCTACTACCAGGTCCCCAACGAATTCCCTCTGTAACCAGATGCTTTAATTGTTCTCGAGTACCCACATCATCAAGCACCACCAAAACTCTTCTTTTACTAATAGGCATTTCTTGAACAGGAATGGATTTTTCCTCCTGCAGCTTAGAAATAAGTTTGTCACTTAAATATTCCAGCCCATGTTGTTCCGATTCTTCCCTCACATTGTGTAAAAAGCAATGGCCTTCAAAGTTGGAAGAGAATTTGTCATGTGCAACTTGTGCAATGGCTGTTTTACCTCTGCCACTCATGCCCCAAATTCCAAGGATCTGAACTTCTTTTGACTCCATTTCCAAAAATGATCTAATACGTGCAACATGTTGGCCAATCCCAACAAAGCCTTCTGATTCACTAGGACACGGATGGATAACATTCAATCTTAACTAAACATCATGTTCATCAATTCCATCAAGGCCTTTTGATTCACTAGGACTATGATGGATATCATTCAATCTTAACAAAGCATCATGTTGACCAATTCCAACAGGGCCTTTTAATTCACTAGGACTACGATGGATATCATTCAATCCTAACAAAACATCTTTGACAATTTTACCAATGAGCTTAGCGTCATCGCTACATCAAAGCAGGGGCGAAAAAAACGTATTAGAACAAGAAGATGGAATAAATTGACTGATTAACAAGTGTCATAATTATATGCTTAGTACAATTCAGTGACTCCTAATCCAAACCATTTGTGAAATTAAGGTAAAATGATGTCACATTTTTAATCTTCATTCATGATATCAATGGTACTGCAATCAGCACCGTTGCGTTAAATTTTAATGTAACCTCCAGCAAATTTTTTACCCTTTTATGGACATAATAATCAGTATATCTCTACTCAAGGTAGATGTAATCCCTACTTGTTGGAACTTTTAGGATTCAGAAGGAAACTGTTGCAATATCATTAGAAAATAACCAGCTAAACATTCTGGTGCAAAACATGCTTAGTTTCTATGAAACAAAGACAAATGTTTTTTTTCAAGGTCTAAATTGGGTAGCCTCCTACACACACACACACGGGGATATATCAACTGTTAGAAATTAATGTCTAACTTGTTTTCGAAAGCTGGCTTACTCGAAATGGGATGAAACATAGCCAGCTAGGCCAGCAGCATTCATCAAGGCTGATCTCCAACTGTGCACCTTCAAGTCGTTTCCTTGAAACTTCAATTCATGATCAGCAAATGCATTTTCATAAGCGCCTTTTTGATGCCGTACATGTGACGGTTTTATCCGGTAGAAAACGGGTAAAACAATCTGTTTGTTCACGTTCTTGGACTCCATTATTTTTTCAAGCTCATCCAAGCACCAACTTGAAGAGGCATAGCTTTCTGAGAATATGACGATTGAAATTTGCGATTCCTGAATTGCTCTCAGAAGCGAAGATGATATTTCTTCTCCTCTCTTCATGTCCTCATCGACAAAGGGTTTAATTTCCACCCGATGTAGTTCCTTTAGCAGATGGCACACAAAGCTGCGTCTAGTCTCCTC